CCAAGACCGTCAGTGACCTCAGCAGCTTCAGGGGAGACAGCAGCCTGGCTGGGGCTCACCAGCAAACGGAAGGTGAGGAAGAAGGAAGCGCGCATGAAGACAGCTCTCTCCGCGGCTAATTCCCTCTAATGAGCAATCACTGAGACACTCAGGCCCTGTGGCTGCAGGGCTGTGACTCCCTGTGCTCTGGTCTGATTGCAGCTCCTCTGCAAGGCTTTCTGGCCAGCTGCAGAGGCCAGGCTCTTGCCCTGGTGACTCCCTAGCAGCTCACTTGGACTCTGTGATTAAAGTACCGCTGCTGGCCTTTTCATTTTAGGGAGAATGTAAGGCCCGTTGATGGCTCAGAGCCCTCCTTCCAAGCCACTTGGGCACGTGGACGGAGGCCTGCAGAGCTGTCTCCTGCCTGGCTCTTTGGCAAACCCCCTCGTTTCTCACCACCTGCCAGTTCCCACTGACTCTGCCTCTCAGATCCCGGCACGTATGCTTATCCCCTTTGTACTGCTTAAAATGCTTTCAGCTGGGAATAAAAAAACCTCTCTATGTGGTTAGAGTAAGATCCATAGGATCTTCTGTGACAAGAAATAACCCTCATTTTTTGGTGAATTGGGGAGGTGTTTAACTGAAACCCATTTTGTGCCAGGTTTGGGTTTTCATAGTAACTGTGTAATCCAGCATTGTCTGTACTGACAGATGTATATTCTTGAGTGCCTAATCTACTGGGAGTGAAAAGGGACACACTGAAGGATTGTGCATTATAGGCAGTCTAGAAAACACTGTATGAACTACTGAAGGGGCAAATGGAGCATGTGGGTTTAACTTACTTTCTCAGATGTGTGGAGCCTCAGAAAATGCTCATTTCAGCCTTACTATTTAGACAATATATAAATTCTTCCTTAACTGAAAGCCAAGCAGATTTGAATTCAAAACTAGAAGGAACAGGGTATGAATGACTGAGGCTCCAAAGTGACTTGGATTAGCAGGTTTATGGTTGGTCTTGATCCAGTTGGTCCTTTGAGACTCTGGGTGAAGCTGTAGGCTCGGGGAAGTAAGCTGCTGTGTGTGACTTCGCACCTAAGCTGAATGCCAAGACCACATGAAGCTCATCCGCAGCCCAGTGGTGAAGAACACTTCTGCCTTTCCAGAGCTTCTTAAGTGTGCCTGAGAACAGGACCTCCTGCGGCACTGCTGGAACCAGTTGCTCCCACTGCCTCACGTGCTCTAGAGCAGCATCGTCCTCTGTAAAATAATCCAGGTCACAAATGCATGCAAGACACAGGGTAATTTAAAATTTTCCAGGAGCCACTTTAACACTGCAAAAAAATTTTAAATGAAATATATATATGTTGCCTGATATAACCAAAATATTATCACTTTAACATGTAATCAATATCCTTAAAATTGGGATAATTTTCCTTTTTTTTTTCTTATTAAGCCTTCAAATTCCACTGTAGGTTTTACACTCACAGCCCACCTCAGTTCGCTCAAATGGCCCGCCATGGCTTGTAGCCGTACTGAGAGGGTGGGCTAGAGTTGAGTTCCCAGTGTTTAGTGTTTGTTTCCATCCAGATGAGTGACAGGTGTGACTCAAGTACAGGCATCTGCCTCACTCAAATGAAAATAGGTAAAGTGACCCACCTGTCAGGTTAAATTGGAATTTGGCCTTGTCTTTATATTTCTAAATGAATCAGCACCCTAGTTTTATCCTGGAGTTTGTACAAGTTGGCTCTCATCTCCCTTTCTGAGGCCTAAGCAGTTCTCCAGGACAGTTCTCAGCCCCCAGGTTGGCCTCCCCAGCTGGGGGCTCTCTCCTGCCTTGGCAGGCCTCTCTGGTCTTCCGGGTGGGAGTGGGTTCAGTCCTCCATTGGAACCTGCCAGGTCCCTGGGGGAAGGAAGCCCTTTGTTTTATCCTGGGACTGGGATTTCCAGTCTCCCTGTCTGCTGGGCGAGGCAGGGGTATGGATGTAACTGGGAGTGGGAAATGGTACTACTCCAGGCAGTTCTTTGTGGTGAATGAGTACTGAGTTGGTAGTGACATTTTAAATTCTCTTCACAATGTTTTTTCTTTTGTACTGTGAATCGACTTTAGAATGAAAGATTAAAAAATTGGAACAGTAACAAAATGTAGGACAACCCTTCCCTTTTCTTTAAAGCCAGAAGGAAAGGGGAAAAATTGTTCCTGCTCTCTGAAGCTTCCCTCTGCTGGTGGAGGGCTGCCAGCAGGGCCGCGGGGACAGCTGGAAGGGAGCTGCTCCCCCGACACCACTCAGTTCTGGCACTGTGTGTGAGACCTGTGCCTCTGTGAGATTCCACTAGGAACTCAGCCGAACCTGAGCCTTCCGGGTGCTGCTAAGGCCCAGGGGAACCTCACATTCCCCCGCAAGTGGGAGACACTTGCTAGAAGGCCCCTGCTTCTCAAGGACTGTGGGTGGGAGGAGTTGCTGACAAATGGAGTCTTCAGGACTTCAGGGCTGGTTGGTAATTTCCTTTAAGATCTTCCCCCTCAATCCTCCCTCCCTCATAAAAGCAGGCCTGGGTTTTTGTGTTGCAACTCCTTTCTTTGGAAAGCTTGACTTGCACTTACAGTAGCTGGAGGCAGAATGTACAACATGAGGTATTTGAAAAGTCAGGAAGGGCTGAACCATCTGTGCGCCTAAGAGCCCTCCACCCTGAGGTCACTGTCCTGCCCCTCCTATAGGATGGATAACCACTAAGACTGCATCTCACATACTTTACAAATGTATACTTTAGAAATGCAAAATTATAAAAATTTCAAGCAGTGTAAGAGTGTAAGTCCGGGGACAGGAAGTCCCATGGCAAAATACCTCTAAAAACCAAAATCAGTCAAAGGGAGAAATAAAGTTTAAAACCTGTTTATTGCTCACAAACTGCAGTCCCCGTCCATCTTCCTTCTCTGCTCCAGCAGCAACCACACCAGCCCTCCCCCTCACCTCTCAGGTACAGATAAGCCCTCTGTTGCCCAGGTAATTACCCATTGATATGGAGATGATGCTCCAGCAGCAACCACACCAGCCCTCCCCCTCACCTCTCAGGTACAGATAAGCCCTCTGTTGCCCAGGTAATTACCCATTGATATGGAGATGACTTCTCCACCCCCGAGGAAAGATGCAAATGAACTAAAGCCATACTTCTTTCCACCTCTGAACGCCTATTGATATGCAGATATACTAAAGCCAGGCGAGATATTTCGGAAATGTTTCCATTTTACCCACAAAGAGTAAGTAAAATGAAAAATAAAAGCCTTTCCTTCATCCCTCTTCCAGGAGTTCACTACTGTTGAGCATTTAGCCTTCTGTTCTATTGTTAGAGTATATCAGCTATTCACACTTAGATTTTTTGTTGTTTTTGTAAAAGTGGGATCTAATAGAACATTCCCTTTTCATTTGACAGTGTATGCCAGCGCCTGTCAATCTCCATTTTTTTTAAACAGTTGCCTTGATGAACTTAACCAGTTTCCTGGTTGTTTCCCATTCTTAGCTGTTGTAACCAAAGCTAAGTGAATCCATCTAAATTCTCAAGTACATTAGGAACCTACATGAACACTGTAAGAAAAATTTGTAGAAGTCGAGTTGCTTAGTCAAGGGATGTGTTTATTTTGCTAAATACTTCCAAAGTGCCTTCCCAAACAATTGTGTGAATTTACTTTCCTCATACACTCATGAGTCGTTCTTAAAAGAATTTCTTCCATAAATCCTGGTTTCTCATTATGCTCCAAGTAAACAAATACCTTCAGTGAGTTTGTTCTGAAGCTGTTTAAACAACTGTTGTCACCGAGAAGCGGTCACCCAAGCCTGGTGCTGAACACTGGGGATACCCTGGGAACCAAACCCAGTAAGGTCCTTGCTGCCCCGGAGCCCACGTGCCACTGGGGAAGCCTGCTGAGTTTACATATCAGACAGACCGTGGCAGGCTGCGGAGCGGGGCACTGTGCCTGGGAGGGGTGCCTTAGGAAGGGGGATGTGTCATTAACCCGTTCCTTGCCTGGGGCTGGTTTTCCTGTGGGAATCAGATAAACTCTGTAAGCTGGACTGTATGCTAGAAACTGCCCGAAACTGAGTCGCATGTTAGCCTAGGTTACCATATGTTAAGTCTGGGGAAAGGAAATCCCGGGGCAAAATACCCCTAAAAACCAAAATCAGTCAAACGGAGAAATAAAGTTTAAAACCCATTTATTGCTTACAAAACTGCAGTCCGGCCCATCTCTCTCTCCTGCTCAAGCAGCCACACCACCGGCCCTCCCCCTCACCTCTCAGGTACAGATAAGCCCTCTGTTGCCCAGGTAATTACCCATTGATAAGATGCAAATATACTAAAAGTCTGCTTGTTTACACCTCTGAACGCCTGTTGATATGCAGATGTACCAAAGCCAGGCAAGAAATTCTGGAAATGTTTCAATTTTACCCACACCATAGTAGTGAAGAGCCCAGAGACCTTGAAGCCATGGAGTGTGGAAGTCAAATGGACTTATAAAATGAGAACAAGAACCTTTAAAGCGAGAGGACTATCAATGATTCCTCCATCACTACCACCCTTTTTGTTTGCAAGGTAGGGCCCTGTAGATTCACTGAGGAGGCCTCCCTGGGGCGGCCTGCCCAGACCAGAGGCTTCTGTTCTTCCCTCTGAGTGGCTGAGGAGAGCGCACACCTGGGAGGGGGCGTCAAGACCAAGGCAGGGCTCCGTGGTCTCGCTGTGCTCGTTGCTGAGCGCCCGCGGCAGAAGGGAACTTCCGGGTCAGCTGCTTTCCCATCTGCGAGACTCCAGACGACTTCCAGTCTTGTGTGACAGGGACAGATATCTTCCAAGGGTCCTCACTGTGACAAGCAGCAGTGTTCCGGCTCTGCAGGCGCGAAGGGCTGTTCTGCCCACTAGGATCTCCCTTTCCGTTCTGCCTTTTGATTTGGCACTCAATCTCCCTCCTCTCTGCCCCCACCTCCACTGTCACCTCAAGTCACTCACGGTGCGCTTCTCTCTCCTTCATACAGAGAAAAGAAGTTAAAGGCCAGAGTTCAAGAGCTGGTGAGTGCCTTGGAAAGGCTCACCAAGAGCAGTGAAATCCGACACCAGCAATCAGCAGAGTTTGTTAACGACCTAAAGCGAGCCAACAGGTAAAATCTTCCTTTGCAGACTCACCGTGGTACTTGGGCTCATACACCAGTGGGTATTTCCGTGGTTGCTGGAAACCAACTCCAGAGAGTGGCCGCCCCCGTGGAGCCTGGTCTTCCTTAGGGTATCATTTCCCACAGTGTTGCATAGAAACCGAGACCCATTCAGTGTAGATGGTCTTGGGCCCAGGGTGTCAGGGCAGAGCAGCATGCCATGGACTCTGAACACTTCATGTAGGGAGGGGTCGGATACCAAAAAAAAAAATTTTTTTAGTTGTGCTTAAGCCAGTTTTTTCCAAACGAAACTGGCTACAAAACCTCCCATTTGAGCGACACTTACTATCCAGTGGAAGACTTTGGGAAGAAGCACTGCTTTGACAGCAGTGGCAGACTTTTTGGACTGAGAACCTTTACAAAACTCATGAAAACCCGAGGATCTCAAAGAGCTGTGTTCTTATAAATTATCTACTGATAAATCTCATTTTAGGGGAAAAACCTGAGACCAATTGAATTTTTTATTAGTTTACAAAAAACAACTTTACATATATACAAATTGACTACATATAAAACAAATTGCATTTTTAAAAGAAAACCTACTTTCTAAAAATTGAGTGGCACTGTTTTTACAATTTTACCAGTCTGTAGTTAGAAAGTTTGCTGACTTCCCCTGAAAGGGTTTTGGTCCTCAGACCACCCTGTGGGAACCTGACGGTACGTGGGATGGATTCGGGGTGCTGTTTTGGACCAGAGTGGGTATTGGGACTTACCTAGCCCTGGGCTCACCCCTGCCCCCTTGTCACCGGTGTCCCAGGGGCACGGTCCAGAGGCTGACATTCTGTGTCTGGCTGGCAGCATTAGTTCATGGCCTGTGTGCTCTGAATCCGCCTGCCCAGAGCACACAGGGAAGTCCTGGAGCCTCTCTGCCTCACCCCACGCGGTCACTTACACTGCGGTGGCTGAGGGACATGCCCTGTAACTTACACTTGGCCATCATCCCATGCCGCCAAGAAACAAATAGACACACTAACTTGTATTTACAGGAGATTTCTAGAATTCACCTACCGTTTCTGCTTATCTATTTTGGATATGGTTAGTATAGATTGTTGGTTTAAACCCCTCTTAGTATGTTGGTGATGAGCCTTTAGCATTCGGGCTGCATTAGTCATGGTTAAGCCAATAAATGAATGGCTGCGAGTGCTGAGTATCTGATTTCCTCAGTTTTTTGAGTGGAGCTACCTGGACCTGGTTCCCCAGTGGACAGGACAGTGTGTGTCCCACATGCTACTCAGGGTGAATCTTCATTCTCATTTCCACCTGTTCCCACACAGCAACCTAGTGGCTGCTTATGAGAAAGCGAAGAAGAAGCATCAAAACAAACTGAAGAAGCTGGAGTCTCAGATGATGGCCATGGTGGAGAGACACGAGACCCAAGTGAGGATGCTCAAGCAGAGAATAGCTCTGCTGGAGGAGGAGAACTCAAGGCCACATACCAGTGAAACTTCCCTGTAGTCAGCACTCGGGCACCAAAGGTCTGCCCTCAGAAGCTGAACTACATGCAGTCCCCGAGGAGAGAAGGGCCCCGGAGGACAGAGCACCTGTTAGGGGAACAGGACAAATGAGGGTTGGCAGGTAGGTCAGCTCCAGACAACAGAGGCTGTGAACTCGGCACCAGGGGCGAGTGGCCCTGGTGACACCATGTGGACTGCATCCGAGGGCCCTGTTCGTCCCCTCCCAGGCTCACAGATGGAGTGTGAGTACCTGCTGTGTGTGCTGTGCTCGGCAGGCCTTGCTTCTGCTTTCAGCATTGGCCTTGTCCCTCTCAAGGCTGTGTGTCAGCAGTATCCCAGGCATTTTATTTTTCCAGGATTGTCCATTTTCTCTTCGGTAGACAGTGACCTTTTCCCCAGCATCCCCAATTTCTCCTCTTTCCTTCTTCAGGGATAAACTCTTGACACTGCACAGGGGGTGTCTCTTCAGTGTCCAGAGTTGCTGGGTTGCTTTCTAGTAAGCAGGCTTCAGCTATCGCTCAGAGGTGTCCTAGGAGGTAGGTCACAGGGTGGCACACAGGTCCCAGTGGTCGTGTCCAAGAGCAGGACAACTTCCTCCACCTTGTCTCGTACAGGAGGGCTGGGAGCAGGGTGCTCTTGACTCTGGGACTTCCCCCTCCCAGACTCATAGCTGAGAGTCCTGCCGATTCATGTAATAGAACTAAAATTTCATCAGGTGTTTCTCCAAATCAGAGCAGCACTGCTAGTACTTCCCCGCACCCCAGGGCACTACAGTCGCCGTTCTGTATGAACGTAATTAAGCTCACCCACATGGGTACACATGTAGCCCTGCACCTGCCTGTTTTCCTAGGGGCAAGAGGCAGGAAGTGGGTGCTGAAATGTTTTTTTCAGCTGTTTCTATTTAGAAAGAGATTGCTACTGACCACTCCTAGTTCGAGGCTTTGCCCCTGCTGTTATGAAGGGCAGAGAGTGAATGGTTGTTTCAGAGCCTCCTTTTATCTCCAGAGACATGGTGACAGCATATGGTGCTTAGGCAGATCCAACTTCAAGCAAAATGCTGACAGGGCCGGGAAAGACCAAAGCACCTGAATTCTTTCAGAAAGGTCTTCCATCTCCAATTTGTTACTCCACTTTCTGTCTTCTAATTCTTCTGCAGTTGCCCTACACTGATAAATTTAAAGGGCCATTTGCCATTTAAAAGGTGCTCTTCTATAGTACCACAATGAGAATCATGTTTCAATGCCACAGTTCAGTTTTGCTTTCAACCAGATCACTGCATTATAGTCCCCACATCCAAGAGCAAAAGCTCAGAGAGCGTCATACAAGGTCCTCAGCCTTCTGCACAATGGAGGACACTCTAGCCACCCCCTTGGAGGGCAGAGCAGTTCTATCCCAAAAGTCATCACCCTTTTTTCGCAGGCCAGTAGTGAAGCTGCCTCATCTTCAAAAAATCAACTGCTATCAGTGTGGAAGGACCAGTTCTTGGGTGTTCCGGTCACTGCGGAAGGGCCCGCTGGCTCCTGTTTGTTATAATCTGTCATGTAGTCACAGATGGTTCTTGTGATTTTTTTTTTTAACCAGTTTTTACTCTTTGGATAAAGGTTCATTTTGTCACAAGGGAAATGTTTTGGCTGAAAAGGTATTTAATAGGCAAAATCATGGTTTCCCCCATTTCCCCAGCTTGCCTAGGAGAAAGGTCCTCTCCTAAGCTAACTGGGATGTGCAAGGTGGGTAAACGATTCTGGATTTCTCTTGTGTGAGGGAACAGACATTGAAACAGTTTTCCATTTTCAGCAATATTGAAAGGTCTAGCTGATACAGGAATAAAATTCTGTCTGCTGACCTATGGTCTACCATTCTTGCTCCAAATTTAAGCAGAGAACCCACCTTTTTAGTCTGTAGCACTCCAGAGCTGGGAGGTCTCAGCTCCTCCATTATGAGCCCCAGTATTACTGATCCTACCTGGCCTCATTTTGGGTTTATACTTCAATAACATAAGACATTTAAATATGTGGTGATTGGGTGAGAACTATTTCCCCAGCAAACTGTTATTTTAAAGATGTGTAGAATAAAAAAGCTATTAAATAGTTGATTTCCTTTTCTTGTATTTTTCAAATGCTCCCCAAGACACAATCCTTGCTGAAGGTGAAATGACAGGCACTTGGTGATGCTAACTGTGGGGCCTCCTAAAACTGCACTGGTTAAATAAACGACTGTGGGTGCCTGGATAATTTTCCTCTTTTATAACAACTTGAATTCTTCTAAATAGGAGCTGGTTTATATGAATGTCTCCATCAGGGGTAAACAATTATCTAGACTGCAACTTGTATTAAAAAACTTCAGACTCATATTTGTTTTTCATTCAGTGTCCTCAGTGGTTACTTCTTTTAGGCAGTCACCTTCTCTGTTCAGAATTCAGTCTGTGGCTTAGAGAAATGGGCATAGGAAAAAAAACCAGTTTGACACCCCCGTTAGACTGCTGAGTTAGGGCAAAAGAGATCCATCTGTGGCTGGAATGCCACCTCCATGTGGGCCTACCAACGGGACCTGAGGCTCAGCCAGCCTGACGGGCACCAGCTACCAAAATTGCCATGGCTTTGTAGACAGTAAGACTCCTTGTTGAGATGTACACCTGAAGTCATTGATGCTTCAGTATCTTCATGTGAGCAGACCACTGGAGATGTATCACGCGCTCCCTCGCTTGCTCTAGCCCCAGAGGTACACTAGCTTTGTCATCATCGCCAATGCAGGTATTACCCGGCCCATACTCACACTCACCTGCTGGCATGTCTAAAGGTAATGTCCATGCTGCCTGAAACTGGAGTGTTAGCCTAATAAAAACTTAAGTGCCAGTTAAACATCATTGTTTAATTTTCCTTTGAGATGCATGCACTTCTTACTATGTCTACCTCTGGGTAGCAATACATTATAGGGACCTCAAAGAACTCAAGAACCCTTAAGGCCTTTTCTTAAAAACTGGATAAGGCAACTCAAAATTTTAACAACTATTTAAGATCCAGTTCAAATCTCCTAGTTGTGTACAGGTTACATTATTTTAAATGGAGAAGAAAAAGCCCCATAGTAAACAGATTTGGGCTGGACTATGTCACTGGGATGAATTAGCCTTCATAGTTGCCTGTTCTTCTCTGAAGGTTTTTTCTATGGCTCAGAAAAATTACCCTGCAATTATTTAATGCCATCAATTAATAATCATAAATCTCTCAAGAGTTTGGGGTATCATGCTCTTGTTTTAAGTGATGAGAAAGTTACCAAGACTACAGAAAACACCCAAACTTTTACTAACCACTTCTCTAAGTCATAAGGCTCCATGACATGAAGCTTTAAACCATTTGCAGATGAGCAACTGGAGTATGTCTCATGCATGAAACTGTGTAAAGTGAAAAGATCATGTTCACTAAGTTTATAGCTGCACCTATTTCTAGATGCAGCAGACTATACATAGAAAGTTTTGAGAGGCCAAAACGGGAGCGAATTTTAAAGATTTTAGATTTTTGCACTGAATTTAATCAGGGTGCAGTCAGAGGTTGCCACGGTCTTTTGGAAGGGAGCATAAATAATATTTTTTATTCTTTTCAGCAGTAAGTGACAACTGTGTGGAACACTACCATTTAAAAAATCATAGCAATTATTTTATTTATCCAGTGGAATGGGCTGTTTGACAAATGATACAACCACCACCTTTCACTGAGGCTTAAAAATTTCCTATTGCTCTTCTGGGCACTACTTTGAGAAGAAGCAATTAACTCATTAAAAAACTAAAATTATGCCTGCTGCAGAGTTCTTATTGAAGCTTATCCAAATCCTATTCCAGTTAATTGAAACCTTGTGTTTATATAGGCCAGGCTGACTTTAGCTCTGAACCTGTGGCCTTCTGAAGCTCCTCCTGTTTCACACTTGAAGTTACTTTCTGAATACATGTGTATCACTCATGTGCTTGGCAGCCTTAGGCATGTATCTAACTTCTTAGAATTGGAAACAGAACTATTAATTACTGTATTGCTGGCAGCTTAAGTGGGAAAGGGTACAAGCTAAGTCCTGTGTAGAAAAAGATAGTTTCACATTCAGACTATTGCATTTTCAGTTGAGTTATATTGGATGCATTCTCTATCACACTATGTCTGAGTAAGAGCTTGCAAGACAAGAAATCATTCTGACCCAGCAGCAGCGGCTCTCTGATAACTGTATCCTTGACTGTTAGTGCCTAGTGGTTCTACAGTCCGGGCAGCTACAGTAACTCACGTGATCTACAGCTCCACAGAACACAGCAAGCTAAATACCGAATTCCCTCACATTCACTCATGACTTGCTTAGTTAATTGTTCTTGCTCTACTGTTCACTTTTGTTACTTTTTGCAAATCAGTCTGTGTGGAATACGTTCAATTTGTAAAATGCATAGTAGTCACTTAACATGCTCATGTTACAACTGCCAAGCAAATGTGCCCCTAATGCAAAGATAATGAAACATGTTCATTTTTCTAATCAGTTTTAGACATTATAAAGACTTCTTTACACTTTGCATGACATTTAGGTTTCCTATTATTTGAAAATGTGCTTTTAAACCACTTGAATTATTAGAAAAACTTGCTTGAATGTACTGTCAGTTATTAAAGCACATAGCTAAGATTGCATTTGTCAGTATTCTACTGTTCGTATTGAAAGTCTCATTTTAAAGTTGCCACTTAACACTGTACTATAACTTGTAATTTTTTAGATTCTTCAGCTGTATGCTTTAAATGTTTCCAGATGCCTTTAGTTTTAGCTGCTGTAAAATAGCTACTCTATTATTTGATATAGAACTGTTTAAAAAGAACTCCCTTTATTTATACAGAGACATTTATAATATTTTACATTCTTATATTCTGAATAAATATTTCTAATTCCATGATGTACTTTAACTGTGGTCATTAACGGGTAAGACTGTCTTTCTATAATACTTACCATTACCACATAGGTATCAAACCCGTGGTGCTTTGTGTTACTGATCAAAGCAGGAGGCTGGAGCACAGACTGTATCAGGTCAAAACTGCCAAAGAAATCTCTTTTTTTGCCTTTTTAAAAATCAGGGAAATGGATGCAATCAAGAACTGGAAGTGCGAGGGAGGCCACAGCATGACCACAAGAATGCAAGCAGCTTTGTGACGTGTCTGTTAGAAAGTCACAGCAGTGCTGTCACTTACTGCCAAAGCAAGGTTCCTCTGACAGTGTACTACCTGGGTCACTCTCTGAAAGCTTCAAATAAAAATTACTGTCATATAGCTGAGGTCTCTAGTGGAGAAGAATATTTCTTTCTCCCATGAGATCCAAGCTCCAGTACAAGTAATAGTTGGATTTTATCTACTTAATTCACACTATAATCTTGCTTTAAAGGAACAACTAAATTGTTATTGTCTGAGATGGAGAATACATACCAGTTCTTTAAGAGGCTCTCTTTTTAGATTTCTTCCTACTGTATAAACATACTGTTGTCATTTTTTCATTGGTCCAAAAAGCAACCAAAATAAGAACTTTGAGCTTACACTACGAAGTAACAGTAGCAGACACCAGGTTACGGTAGTAATTAAAACTGCCCAAACAGCAAAATTTATTGATATTGCACTACAGTCTAAATTTAACATGGTAATATTTTTACAGAAAGCCAATATTCACTCAATTGTAGAGATGTTTTAAAATATCAACGGAACCGCCCATCATTCAACTGTATTTTGTAAAATAAAAGGTTCTTAAACTGTTGTTATTTACATCAAAAAGCTATCTAAAGGAGCATAAAAACTGTTCAGACATAGGACTTTGTTCATTTTCTCCGTGGAGAGTACAGCTGTCATTTCTAGTTCTAGGCACTGTAATACTGCAAGCTCCCAATTCATAAACAGTCACTCAGAAACCTTTATGATAGTCATGCCCAATATAACTGAAAATCAGTCCTTATCTTTTAATTAACACTGAGGAACAGAGACAATGCTACTGTTCAGCCAGAATGTAATAAATTCAGACACACAGTAAATCTGCTCTAAAGGTTATCAGTGCTTCTAACTACAAGGTGAATGAACCTGACAGGTATCCTGAGGCCCCTTTACTGCTCTCCCTCGATGCTGACAACCAAAACATGCACCGAGAACTTCATTACTACCTCAGGCAGAATTACTCCATGGTTTTACTTTATACAGTCTTTCTCCAAACATTAAAATGTCCTAGAAGGTAAAGTAATAATACACTGCTGTAACTACGGCAAAAATTAAATGTTAAATCATTTCACATTAAGAAAAAAACGATTACTACTGAATAAAGTTTACAAATATACATAGTTACCACATTTACTCTAAAGTCCAGTTTTCTCAACTGAGTATATTTGGTAGAACCATTTCATTAATTTTTTTCTACCTTTTTATAGATCCCAGACAAAACAGCATGACTCAGCATAAATATTGTCACCTTTTTCAGACAAACCTACTCACAAGAAAACTTTTAAGAATACGTATCTTCCATGAACATTACCTAGTCTCCATGGCATAAGAGATATTTCAAATCTTGTTTTGGAAATAGGCAGGGTATAAAAAAATCAATTCTTACTCCTTTCTTAACTAAACCGTCTGCCCTTACTCTGGGTAAAAGAAAGACAGTCTTACCTAAGATTTTGCTTGAGTTAGCTAATACATCGGCTATAATTCCACTTTATTAATCCCTTTATTCTGAAATAAGATTGTTTTAAATTTTCACTAAAGTGAACAGGTAAAATTTAAAATCTGAATTGTATGAGGTAATACTTACCAAAGGCAGTTTTTGTAAGGTATTAAGCTAATAAACTTCAAAAACAAGAAAATATATGTGTGTGCACACACACACATACATACAAATATATATATGCAAAATAGTTCATGGTTATATTTTCCTTCCCTAATTGTTACTGAAGAAAAACAGTTTGTAATCATGAAATGAAAGTCAGCTTAGCCTTTTCCTGTCCTAACTTTGAAGTGAAATATGACCAACAAAGTAAAATTAAAGATTCGGTTTTCGGACACTTGCATTTGATATTAAAAGGTACTTGTGCAAGATCCAAACACAAACCTAAAAGGACAGCAGTGAAACGCACAAAGAAATCCTTGCAGATATGTTGTTTGTGCTTTTTCGCACGTACGGCGTAAGAGTTGGAGGCCACCGCTGCTCATTCATCAGATATACTAACACATCTCACCAATCACGTGCTGCAGAACAGGAACTACCATTCTAAATTTCACTCGCAGTTGAGAGCCTTTGCTTTTGTTTGCTGCCATCCAGTCTATTCCACGTATCACAAAGGCTTGAAAAAGGCCAGATACTGTTGTATAAAGAACTAATTTCTGAAAGCTTGAGAAATAACTTTAAATGACAAGGTAGATTTGTGACCAAAAACCTTTCTTAACACCAGTTTGTAGCTATAGATTGTTTTGGAACCTCAGATTCAATGAATAAAAAGATTAACTAAGACCTCTCAAAGACGGAGGACCAGCAGAACACTGCCTATTTCACCCTAGAACCACACAGTTTTCTTTGTTCTAAACTAATTTGACAGCTACATGCACTGAGAGCCTCAAAACAGTGGTGTCCAGAGCCCTTCTATCTGTGGCTCAAGTGTCAAAGTGAGATCATCTCTAGGAGCCAAGATGTGATCACAGCTTACAAACTACCCAAGTCCTCATATGGTGACTACCAGATTCACTGAAGGGATGTAGCACAAATGAAAAAGAAAAAAAAATTCTACAGAAGGGACAGGATTGGGGTAGGCATCGGGGTAGAGCAGGGAGGAAACTGAGAGAGACAAACTCAATGGCCTCTCCCAGGCCAGTCACACCACAGAGGAGAAAGATAAAAAATCAACAGGTCCTCGTTCTTCAAATGGCACTCAACAGATAGATGCCAATAGCCAAGACACCACCCAACCACCTGCTAGAGCCCTCCCACCAAAAAAGTATCAAATATATGTTTATGGCCTTTTTCTTCCACTGGACTAAAAAACTAAACTCTACTAAAAAGAGGAGGATCCATGTGGGACCAAGTTATCTTGAAAAGCAAAAGATTTTTGCATTTAACCCCTTTCCCCAGAGCACCCATTAACCCTACAAAGCTACCACCAAGTATCTCGTCAAGGTTAATTCCTTTTACATGGTGCTTTCAAGCTGCCCGTAGCCAGACTTTCCCATCTGCTAACCCCAGAAGACAAAAGACAAAAGGAATCTCTTCACTGCTGATTTCATTCATCTGGGGACCCAGATTAAAGATTCAATTTCTCAAGGTATGACTTCCAAACTTTATCATAGTTTTTATTTACACTTCTTTGTACTTTAGGTTAAAGTCTAAGCTACTAAAGTTGGTGGAAGCCAACCATTCAAGTCCCATGTATGAGAGGTAGCTTTACTCTTTCCCTACTATAGACTAATATTCCAACAGTAAATGCCATTTGTCACAAGAAAGCCAGATGAAAAGGAATGGATCACCACCCAGGACAAATGTGTAACCAACACATGAAGTGACTATGACATACCTTAACTATGGCTATATTGGGGATTATGTTCCTAAGACAGCAGAACACTTGAGTGTGGCTGCACTTGTGAAGTACCAGTACAGGAAGGATCAGACTCCCAAACACTGGTCTTTAAAATGGAAAAAATTACCATAGGTTTATGGAATTGCTTGGCAGCCATAGTCAGAAAAAAATTAACTATATCTGAGCTAGAAAACACTTGGTAACAGCTACATGTATTAGACTCTGCTTGGGCTAGGCAACAGTCACATTTCTATCTTTGTACATCACATGGCACTCAAAAGCTGATTTATCTCCTAAGATTTCTTCCTTCCACTCTTCTGTGACCAGCAACTAGTTATCTTCTCCCTTCAGGGCAATTTGTTCTATAATACCTATCACATTTTTTGAAACTGCAATCTAGAACTCTACTTTGAAAGCATGAGACAGAGCACACTGCCATCTATATGGCACAGGAGTACAAACTTCAAGAGCAACTCAATTCTAGGAAGAAAAGATGCTGAGAAACCCATCATAATCTCATTTTTAGAATTTTTGGCAACTATACAAATGCACTTCAAAGTCTTAGGAAAGAATACAAAATAAGGAACTTTGGCTAGGCTTTACCAAGCTATAAGGGATAAGGTCTAACAAAACTGCTGTTTTACTATGATACCTGTTCACCTAGAGACAGGTACTTAAAGAATATTAATGCCTTCAGACAAAATAAGCTTGTCTTGTTTATCATAAGCTAAAATCACAATACATATGAGCCTTCCCCAGGCTAGAAAACAATCCAAGTAAAAATTACTAGATAACACTTATTTTCTTCAAATGTAATGAATCTGACCTTGTATATATAATTAATATGAAAAGAAAATACCTCAGAAAATACAGAGATACAATAGATGTCCATCAAAACAAAATCTCTGAGTAGGCCAGGAGAGGTCCACTTGTACAAAAATCAAGATTAAAATGCTAAGAGATATTATTATACTAAGAAAAAAATTACTTGGCAGAAGTTCTAATTTTTATATTGATTCTACTTCTTACTGTTTTAACAACAGAAAAGATAAATGAGAGACTAGGTAATGAAATGTTTGTCATGCACACATGCAGTCAGACATGAACTTTCCTAAAGACCATAATATGAGTTTACAGAAGAATTTAATCCCTGTGGAAGGATACTATTCACTTGGATTTGAGTTTTTTATTTGATATTACACATAAACTACTAAAGCCTTAAAAGGACAAAGTACTAATCCAATCTTATAGCATAATATTAATTCTGCTGAATTTGCTATGCATCTTCATTATCTGTACTTACTGATATTTAATAGAAAAATAAAGATATCCACAGTTCAAAGCAGCAAGCAGTGAACACAATTCCTTTGACAGCATAGGAGACCTTCTTTTATACATTACATTAAAATTCAACTTCATTTTCAAACATCTTCAAATTTCACCCTTGCTAAGAGAGTTCTATTAGGTCCTCAGACTTCTCCAAATGCTCACATCTCAGGAAAGTGGCACTATTTGAAATCCTAAAACCATTCATATGCTATTTAACAAAAACTTGTGAAAGCATGTAAACCATATCCCTAATATTTTGGATTACGATGGTTAAGTACAAAAACAATTCATTTAACATCTTACAAATCATTATAGTTATACATAAAAGCACCTACAAAATTTTTAAAAATAAGAGATTCACAGTGCACTGAACCTTGGAACATATAAGGTTGGAACATAAGAATATTTAAAAAGTGGATTCAAAGACCTATTTCTTTCAGACGTAAAACATAATGAAGCCAACACAACTACTCTTCTTGTCTAGCTTTTAAAACACAACACACAGAAATCATTGCATATTCAGCACTCATTTAGCACTTGATTTCTTCAAACCAGGGTAATTTCTCAAGAGAGAAATCTAGTTCTGTGCTGAGCATGGCCTTCCCTAAGGTAACCTGAACACTGAGAAACTAATACACAGGTTCAAGGGGGAAGTAAGTATAGCAGATGTACATAAAAAACAGGTACATCCAACTTATACATTTTCTGCATAGTTAAGTCATACCACACACATTAACTTTAACACATCTTTGAACATCTTTTATCTCAAACTGTAGAGCGCTAAAAGCCTCAAGTTACCAAAATCCCATCTCAACAATACCCTTACTTTGTCCTACAGTGCATTAACTGAAGCAGCGCTACAGCAGTTAACATTTAACCATAGTTAAACTCTCACAATCGAAAAGAGATCATTTGTTGGTTCTTAAAGGCTCAACACCATTAAAGACACACTTTTGGTAATTAATTCTAATCTCTTTTACTTTAGTATTTAGAGTTGAAAAATCCAACTCTAGGCACCAGAAAGACTGACCAAAGTACTTACGTAAAAAGGAAAAAAACCCACATACAACATCACTAAAAATAAAATGGTTTCCAGATGACAGTAAACAAGTGAAAATTATTTGCCTGTCAGGCAAACTACATTTTCACTCCCTTTAACAATTTAACAGAAATCTGGAATGCTGGGACCAACTATAAATATGGCTCAAGGAGACCCAAGCAAAGCAGCTGTATTTCTGGAAAGAATAAACAAGAGCTTTCAAATGCAATCATAAAATGCATTTTCAAAAAGGTCACAAAAGGATTCACATACTTGTCACATTAAAAGATGCAGATTGTGAATAACCTAATTCTAAATGCATTGCTGTAACTGGGAATTCTCCTGCTTAGCACCAAGAGGGTGTCACTTTTATTAATAAATAGAATTTCTCCTTTAAAATCAAGCTGTTCAAAAGCTAAAGCAAAGAAATACCAAGTGTTCCTAACAATAGCACTTTTTCTGAAAGTCCTGCTGGATTAAATAGAACCCCTATTAAATAGGCTATCTATACAGAATAAAGACTTCTACAATAAAATTTACAAGCAGAGATATACTTTGTGGATACCACATGTAAAAAAAGATTTTTAAAACCCACATGACAGTTGCACATGCACGCATATGCTTGCACCACCCCCCTCCCCCCACAAAAGAAATACCTTCAATGAGGTCAGAAGCAGCCCAAATGAAACACTAAAGCCCCCTTAAAGCCCTGGTGACTGTCCTCAATTAGAGCTGAAGTTCTTCTTAAGATAGGCACTGCCATTCTCATCTGGGTCGAAGCATCCTGAAGGAGCAAAATACATTCCAAGGACTGAGTTATGTGTATTACTTCCATGGTCTGATCCTCCCTAATGAAATGCTTTACTTGTTCCTGGGTAAATTGCACACCCCTGCCTTCCTGCCCCATCACCCAGGGGCTCCAGCACACTAACAGTGTGTCAGTCTCTGCTACTACAGCAAATTAGAACCAAATATAACATCAGTTTCCAGAGATCAACACCCAAAGACAATGTAAAACCTAATGTCATAATCCATACATATATACACAGCTGTAATACAGAAAAAATTTTCACAAGAAAAAAATCATCGTATGATACAAAAAGGCTGGTGGCAGGACAGTGAACACAGGACCAAAGCAGCTGCTGGGTGCGGCCTCCTCACTCTCTTCTCCCCTCTCCAGCGTCTCACACGCTCCTGGCGGTGCAGCACATTCCTCAAGGAGTGCATCAGCTTCCCACTCAACCAAGTCCCTTCTCCAGGCTGAGGACACTGTCTTTTAACGAAGCACTACGAGTTTGTTTTGAACATGAACAATACATAGGAGATGCTGGCTCTAAATAAAACTTTCCAATGAAACCCCAAGCAGAAGAGGCTTAAGAACGTAAGTGGTTATAAGCAGAGAAATGCACAAAACGTCACCAGAGCAGATGACTTGCAATCTAGACTTCTGTGACATTTCAGCTCTTATAATCATTTAATAACTGTATATTTTAAGTATCTTTTAAAAATTTCAATGAAAGGAAACTATTTTTGCAATCACTGTAATGGATAGATGCAGCACATCCATTAACTTGGCTACTTGGTGACTCAACCACTATTTTCTTGACCAAAACACAAGATAAAAACCACAATCACACAGAAAAAAAGGCTCTCATAAAAAGCAACTTAAAATTCGCAAGCCAACACTGAAAAGGTACATCTATATAAAAGGTTATTATAACTACATCTACAGTGCAAACTTATGTTTCTTTCTACTCTCTTCTGCACAGAGAACAATCTCTTCAGAAAACAACGTTGCCTCCCTGCATTTCTTTAGAACACCTGAGAAAGGTAAGGCTCAAAGAGACACCCACTCAAATGCCACAGGTCTTTGATCTTGGGGCTTCCATGACCCATTTGCTGATATCAAAGGTCCAAGATTTTCATTATAGCAGTATGGTCAAATTTGAAACTCAAAAAGGTTCTGGATGAAAAGGGGAACTTGCAATGTCCATTACATGCCACAGACTGTCCCTCAGCATGTTCTAGCAACTGCTCTTCACCAGAGCAAGATAAGTCATATACAGCATCTGTTTAAAAAACAAAATAAGGTCAATAACTCAGTTAAGAAATAAAATGTAGCATTTTGTTATAAACGAATTCATGTATGATATATATGTAATCTCCCCATACTCTAAATCTAACTTAGGCAGAACCACCAGGATGTTATCCTTCCCCTAAACTGGGACTCAGCTGAATTTCTAATCAATTATTGTTTATTTCCACACAAACATTCAAAATCTTAATCTCAGCCTTTAAGACCCTTAATATTAACTTGCTTTCAAAAATGGACATACCCTTGTTTAACTCCTTTATTTCTATTTTATGCCAATATAATGCAAGCTTCTTGATGGAAATTAAAACATAAGCATTGTAAAGCTTACGTAAGATCTGTAAGGATTCCAACTCTAGAAACACAAAGCTGGAGCTTACCAAATCTTCAGGAAATATATCAGCCTAAAGAAAAATTCAAATTTTCAAAATTACAGTGCAACAAAACCCCCAACTTAGCAGGCCTTTTTTTTTTTAAGGTAGAACAGGGATCTGACCAGAAAAGTAGGTTTTGAATAGTCACCAAGAGCCTGAGGCAGAAAGAAAATTTGAAACAAGGTATCCCAGGACAAGAATCCGTTTATACTTTCTTCTCAAGATACCTAAAAATTCAAAATATCCATATTATGCCCAACTAAACTGGGTATACAAAGTTATAGTGTGCCTTCTTTAATGTTGCTGAACATAAGGCTTTTTAAAGATTCTGTGAAGTAATTGATTTCTGAGCTTAACGTTAATTAAACTGTTAGCCTATCATGTCCCATCACCCAAGGTAGCCAGAAAAATCCTATTAAGGGGACGTCTACCTGCACAGTATCTATATTAAATTGATAGTACCTATTTCTTCATAGCTAACCTAACTCCAAAACAAGATTAAAGCATTTCTTTTAAAATAGCTATTCTATGACTTAAGCAGACAGTATTACAAGAAATTATGATTATAATGTCTTACATATTTCTTAAACTTTTCTATATGAAAACCTTAAATTTAAATGGTGCATAAATGCGTATCTACTACCCAGGGAATTTCCTAATTCAAAACAGCGATTCTAAGAAAAACAGTGTGCTGTTCTTCCAAACAACATCTACTAAATCAGTATTAAGTATCTACTAAATCAGTATTAAGTATTACAAGAGAGCTTTCTACATACATCAGGCATTATTTTTCAAATCAGATTCACATGTTCCCTTCATGTATGAGGATGCGAAGTTCCAAATGTCATTTCAATAAAGGCTATCTTTAGTACCTCCTTAAAAAGTTGATCATTGCCTCCAAAAAGGCAAATGTTTCCCTTCTGAAATTACTGTTTCCTTGCACATATGAAGTTTCCTTACCTTTACTCTTATTTGATTCTACTCCCCCTCTAACCTTTAAGCAGTATTTATTTATAGTATTCATGCATAATATCAAGGTTTGACATTCACCAAAGAGACAGCACTTTAAAAGGGCAAATAATTTCATCTTGATCATTTAAATGAATTTCATTTTAGCCAGTTTCACATTTAGAGAACTTGACCACATATACGAATATACATACTTTCTGTACAGAACACGTGCAACTATGCTTGCTTACTTGTCATAGTTCGTCACACACGCAACTAAAATCAAGGTTAGGCCAAAGGTAGGCCAAATCCCACCAGGCAGTTTTTTTTGAGAGGGCATCTCTCATATTTATTGATCAAATGGTTGCTAACAACAATAAAATTCTGTATAGGGGGGTCAATGCTCAATGCACAATTATTAATCCATCTCAAGACTAGTTCTCTTCAGTCTCCAATCTTCTGAAGCATAATGAACAAGTTCTTACATAGTGAACGAATTCTTACATAGTGAATAAGTTCTTACATGGTGAACAGTACAAGGGCAGTCATCACAGAAACTTTCGGTTCTGATCATGCATTATGAACTATAAACAATCAGGTCAAATATGAATATTTGTTTGATTTTTATACTTGATTTATATGTGGATCCCACATTTCTCCCTTTATTATTATTATTATTATTATTTTTAATAAACTGCTGAAGTGGTAGGTAGACGCAAGATAAAGGTAGAAAACATAGTTTAGTGTTGTAAGAGAGCAATTGTAGATGATCAGGTGTGTGCCTGTAGACTATGTGCTAATCCGAGCTAGACAAGGGCAATAAAACATCCATGGATGCAGAAGCTTTCTCTCAACACAGGGGGGGGGGGAGGTTCTAAGCTTCACCACTGTTGTTCCCCAATTTCTCACCTGATGGCCCCCCTGCGACTGTGCCTGTCTTAGGTTGTTCCTCCCTTGAGGAATCTTACCCGTCTCTCCCACCAGGCAGATTTTAAAGAGAAAATGACTTGCCTGTTTCAAAATTATCCTGAAGTTTTCGTGGATGAAGTTTTTTTTCACATTTCTGTTAAAAAAAACACACACACACACACTCAACATACCATCTCTAGTTATGATAAATGAGATGTTATCAAATTTCTCAGGAAAAAAATTTAACCAGGCATATAGTAACTATCCCCATTCATGTATTGGCATTTTAATTATTTTTATTTTAAGCCTAGAAATTTTTAGTTCATGATTACATGTACAACATAGAAACACCAGAAAAAAAAATTCAATTTCTCAACCCAGAGATAACTGACATTCCAATATATCTTTCTAGCTTTTTTTCTATGAAGATACATGTGAAAGTATTTTCAGATCTATTTAACAATTAAATGGAATTATTCAATATACTACTATTCTATAACCTGTATTATAAATTTAACATACCATGGACATACTCCTTTTTTAATAGATATAAATCTACACCATCATCTTTAAACTCCATGGCAGTCTGTTGCATGGATCTGTGACACTTGATTATTATCTTCTTAGATGTTCAGATTGTTTCCAAGTTCTCATTATAAAAAGAGTAATGGGGTGAATAGCCTTTAAATTTATCTTCTAGAGAAACAATGTTAAGAACTTTTTCAGACTTTCAATATAGCCAAAATACTCTCTAAAAGGCTATGCCAATTAGTAGTTTTTAAGTGTTGCCAATACACTCAACAATATACAACTGGTGTCTTCTCATCTTTGCCAATCTGACAAAAGGTGTAATAATAGTAAAGGGCAAGTAGTCTAACAGTAAACTGATTTTTAACATGTTTGCTAGTAGAATCAATATACCCAAGTTAGGTTAACAGCACCTAGGGAACTGAGGTAAAATATTTTTGCTAAAAACATGAGATATTACCATTATTACCCACTGTTAAACTATTTAGGTAAAGCTACAGTAAGGATATTCAACATATAAATACCAGGACTAGCAGGAAAGATAAGCAAGGAGCCCATTTAGTTATAATTACTTTCTGGAGCAGAGACTAACAGATTGGAAGTAAATGCCTTAAAATTCTCAGTTATTTAGGCCTAGTCTAATAATGACTGGCACTAGCTATGCATTACTTTTAATTTTCTGAATTCTATCAACTTGAGGGAAAAAACCACACTGCAATGTTCTTCCACTGCAATGGTCTTCCAAGCTATTAACTTCATTAAAATAATAGACTCTGGAAAAATATCGACCAAAACAACAGCCAAGGATTTACTCGAGAAAGCAAGGATGACCTCCCATTGTTTTCATAGTATTAAAATAAATTTAAATACCCACTTAAAAATGCACAGATCAGACTTACAATTGAATCAGTGTTACAAGTCTGGACTTGAAAGTAATTAGTCAGAGACTTTTAGTGACTAAATACTGCACAATGCACTCAGTAAGAATCCTGTCACTGTTATCAGTTCCACGTGCCTTGACAATGCCCTTGCCCCACGCTTAACAAGGGCAAGCCGCCCTGAGAGTTGTAACTCTTACCATCAAGGGATTCTGCTGTTTGGCTGGCTGGCTGTGGACCCCATTTGTTCTTTTCTTTTGATTAGGTGAGTCTTGATACTGTTTTCTGCCATTTCCCCTCATACTTTGATTCTGTTTTTCCAATAAGAAGAAATAAAATGTAAACCGATACTATAATGTAACAGGACAAAAGAACATACTCCTATGGATATGTTTAGCTGGTTAAGTTTTGCAAAGCCCCTCAATCCCCCCTCAAAATTTTCCCAACACATTGGGGAGCCACGTCTAATCAGTATAGTTTCTTATTAGAATATAGTGCTTCAAAAATGAGATTCCTCTATAGGTATGAAATTGCAAATACAATGGTCCCTAAGAATCTCACCACACCTCCTACCATATCCCATTTCTGTTCACAGACTTTGTTACAATGAATAAAGTAAAAAATAGTATTTTTTCAAAAACATATATTTCAAACAAGTTTATAAACTTTACGTGACTGTCAAAAAAAAAAATCTGTGAGGGAATGCTGGGGCTTACTGGCCATAGTTCTTAGGGCAGGACACATGTAGCAGATGTTACTGTAAAATTTGCCTCATTAATAAACATTTTAAAATTAATAATCTTTTATACAAATAGAGACTGGTGCTTTTAAAATCTGGACTATTATCTCTAAATTTAGACCTAAAATTTAAACATGCAGTAGATGACATCGGACTATACACGTACTGCTTTCAAATGAGTTAATTTTCTTAAAAAAAAGATTTTAAGTTTAATTGGAAACACAGACTTTTCAAACATTAATTTGTCCATAGAGGTCTTGATAGATATTTAAGAGGACTGGCTAAAAGAATGTGAATAAAATAATAACCTTATTATTTAAAGACATATAAAAATCATTTATTTACGTCTATCTACCTATAGAAAAGATTAAGCGGTCCCTAAAACAGCTTGAAAATAATAAGCTAAGAAAGGAACAGTAAGGAAATATGGCTTCTTTCAGAAACTCATGTTATGGCACACTTTTAATTCAATGTCATTCTGCTCTTTCTGGTATTAACTTTTTACTGTAGTACAATATACATAAAATTTACCACTCTTGCCACTTTCAAGTTTACAATTCAGTGGCACTAAGAATAGTCACCATACTGTGTAACCACCACCAGTACCCATTCTCCAGAACTTTTTCATCATCCCAAATAGAAACTTTCTACCCATTAAATTACTCCCTTCCCTCAGTCCTGGTAACAAGTTGATTTCCTTCTCTATGAATTTGTCCCTTTGAGGTACCTCATATAAGCAGAATTATTCAATATTTGTCTTTTTATGTGTGGCTTATTTCACTTGCCATGTGTTTAACATTCACCCATGTCATAGCACATGTACATCACTGTATCATTCCTTTTCAAGGCTGAGTAACAGCCCATTGTATGTATATGTTGCTCATACATTTAGCTGTTGATAGACATGTGATAGTTTCTACCTTTTGGCTATTATAAATAATGCTACTATGAACACTGGTATACAAATTACCTACTTAAATACTGGCTTTCAATTTTTTGGGGTACATGCATAGGAGTAGAATTGCTGGGTCATTTGGTAATTGTTTAATTTTTTAAGGAACCACCCAAAGGTTTTTCATGGCATTCCACAACCACTGCATAAGGGTTCCAATTTCTCCATAACCTTGTCAACACTTATTTTCCATTTCTTATTACAGCCATCCTAATGGGTATGAGGTAGTTATCTCCTTGTGACTTTGATTTGCATTTCTCTCATGACTAATTATGTCAAGCATCTTTTTATAGGTTTATTGCCCATTTGTATATTTTCTTGGAGAAATGTCTACTCAAATTGTTCACCCATTTTTTACTTGGATTTTTTTTGGTTGTTGGTAGGAGTTGTGTATTCTAGGTATTAACATCAGATATGTGATGTGCATTCTGTGGGTTGTCTTTCTATTCTTTTGATAGTGTCCTCTAATACACAAAAAGTTTTGTATTTTGATGAACTTAGTATTTTCAAAAGAATAAAAATAAGAAGTAAGAGTGACATCCAAATGGATGGCTAAGAGGATTAGTAAGGATGTGGAACAACTGTAACTCTCATATATTTGATGAGGTTATAAATTATTTTAGAGTATTGTTTGCAGTATATACTCAAGAACGTAGGAATATCCAGTGCTCCACCACTTCTGTATACACCCAAAAGAACTGTGTATGTTCATCAAAAGACATGTAGAGAAATGTAACAATATTGTTTGTAAAGCCCAAACTGGAAACAACAAAAATGTCTGTTAAGGTTAGAATGAATAAATAACTTGTGGTAAACTCAGACCCTAGAATACAACACAGCAATGAACCTTTTGCTGGTAATACATATACCACAGTCAGACATTAATTCTTACAACTTACTACACGGTTTTTACACCAAAGCTGTAAAGGTTAAGGAGTCTCAGCCCTGTTTCAAATCACAAGTCAGGAATGCAGACTTGGTCAACAATTCAGAGCTTTTAACCGTTAATTTGCAGTTCCTCAATTTAGGTACATTTCTAAGTCAAATGACCTAGAGTATGAAAATCTTTAAATGTATTATCACTCACCTTTGCTTTTAAAGGGTCAGTCATTTCAGAATGATTATTATATGGCTTTTGCTGCAGTGGCTGCCTGTGCTTGACCCACTGGTCACCAGGAGAACCTTCAGGAAATAACTGCTGACTGTGGCGGAATTTGGTTCGACTACACAAAGATTTAAAAAACAAAAATCAGATCAGAAAATTTTCACTTACAATTCTTCTAACACCTTGCTTGTTTATCTCATTACTTTCTTATTTACTGTCTACCCTCCACCCCCAAAATGTAAGTCCCTTGAGGGTAGGGTCTCTTGTCCACTTTGGGCAGTGATTCTGCCTTGTTTACTGCTTTATCCCCAGCACCCAGAAGAAAGCCTGGCATTCAGTATTTATTGAATTAATAATGTTATTTTTAATCACAAACTTTTCTAAATCATCCATACTACTACCTCCCTGTAAGTGATTATACTTTCAAAAATCTGAGTAATTCTAAATTTAGTTGACCAACAAATCAGTGGATTTTCCTTGTTAATCGGACAGACAACTCACATTCCCATGAGTGTGTTTAAAGTATGGAATTTGATTCTGCACAGATAAGTTATGGAACTCATCCACGCTAGACGAGGATCTGAAACATCAAGCTATATTCTAAAGCAAAAAATTAAGGGGCCTAGGAAAATGGATGAGCAAATTAAATAAAGATCTAGTCTCAAATTTTATACGAAAGAATTCATTTATAAAAGGTTGTACTCATGCATTAGTTTGTAATAAAGAATCCATTTTATAGTACCACTAACATGTATAATACAGTCCAGAATCACTGATCCCAAGGACTGTATTATATTAAGACTCTTTCTGAATATTTCAGAGTTCTTCTCCTTTCCCATTTAAAAATTACAAAATTAGTCTCTCTATACTCTTTCTTTAGACAAAATTCAGATACTTCCTCCAACACATCATCACAGATATTAGTCTCAATGCTAAAAATATACCACCCTCTCTAAAAAATCAGAATTTGGCTAAAGAAATTGCTCCATTATCTCCTTATGACATTCTCTAGGACCACAAACCCTAAAACTAAAAGATATGGGAATCCTATCACACACTATGGTGGACAGGTTCTCCTAAACATGAACAGTCGTGATTTTTTTTTAAAATACTTTCACTGTTTTATAACTTCTTAGCAGTATCTTTGTTTTTTTTAATCTTGGTTGCACACCTGTCTACTTTTTCTATACTGTTTCACTTATGTCTAGCAGTATACAATTTAGTGATTGTAATCAGATTCTGCAAGGTAAAAATGACTCTTTAGGGCATTTAGTCCAAGTTCTTGTCCTCATAAAACCCAATTAAAATGGAATACTCCCTATATATTTTTAAAATACTGATTGTAAATGTGGTTTATTTTAACTGTTTAGTTTTTGAAGCTCTAGGGTAAAAACAGGACATCTAAATCAGAGAAAATGTAGAAAGCAACTCTCTCTGAACCTAACATAGGTTAAGTTCTACCAAGTGATTATAAATACATATGCTTATTTAACAAAATGACTTACTCAGCCTATACTGTAATTGTGATTTGGATACAATTAAGTTCTAATCAAGGAATGTTCTTTGTGGTTTGTGTCCATGTAATAGTCACTCTATAATGCAATCTATGCTAGGGAAAGAAAAGATAGGGATAGTTCCATTTTTGTGAACAAATTATCCATTAGCATCGCTCATCTCCCTATACAAAAACAGACCTCAACATATCCACCATTCAATCATCTTCAGAAAATTATTTCTAAAGAATGAGAACAGAGAACAGTATAAACACACAGAGACCGATTTTTTAACTCATGCTCTAGCTATTCATCTGAGAAGTCAGCACCCTCTTGTGTATACTATTTTAAAATGTGCCTGAGGCTCCTTTCCAACTTCAATTAACCTTTTTCATCTCATCTCATCTCATCAAAAGCCCTTAAAAAAAAAGACTTCTATTATCTGTGAGACCAGTACCAAAGTAGTACCTGTAAAAGGAATGCAACACCTCTACAAACATTAAAAGCAAAATGCTACTACTACTGTATCAAAATCTATCAGAAAGTCGGAATCCTATGTATTTATTTCCTTACCTCAATTTTTCCACAGTGGGTTTAGCTGGAGTGCTACCAGTTGAAGAAAATCCATTGTCACTGTCTGAGGAATCTCCAAATCTTCGAGAAAGCCAGTCCCTTAATGGTCTGTGGAAACATTAACAATTCACATTTAAGACTTGGCTTTTAGAAACTGACTGTAAGAATTATGATGGTTAGTTTTGTATTTCAACAAATATGTACCTGATGAAGGGAATGGCCATAAAAAATTTGTTAGGTGCCAAACCAAGTTTGGATTTTGGGGTCATATCATTTCTATGACAGGGCAATTTCTCAATGGAGAACCATTCGATGTTCTGAAACATAAGAAAATAATTCATTTAGTTCACTATTATCAAGGAGTTTCTAAAAGCAAATTCCTACTTCATTCAATTAGGATACTGTCCAATACCCTGAAAATGACTTTCATTTACATACCCGAATTTCTCTTCTGGTTTTTGGGTTAAATTTTGTGTCTTTTGGAATTCCTGGAATGATGTACAAACGAGCAAGCTGGTCATTGATTCGAAGTTCAATGTAATCATCCTTACAAATATAATCTTTGATATCAAAACCAGTTTCTTCAAAGACCTGGAAATAACGAATCTAGATGATTTTTTTGCTGTTAGACCTCTAGTTCATTAAAATTTATTTATCTCAAAAGCAAAACTTCAGAAACATACAGGCAATTAAAGGCATGAAAACGATGCTAGGCAGGAAGTCAGAATGTTCCAGAGTCTAATTTTGTTCTGCCTCTACTGAGCTGTCAGACTAAGGAAAAACCTTTTCATGAGCCTGAGCTTAAGTTTTTTCACCTATTCAATCAAGGTAGATGTGTGATATTATGATTTACAGTAAGAAGTATTTACCTGGTCTTCATCCCCCTTTCTGGAACAGAACTCCTAAAACCCTTGGAATTTCTTCAGTGACAGAGCAACAGAGGTTTTTGTTTTGTTATGTTAATGAGGTGACCTTTGACCCCCCCCCACATAGGAAGGAACTTAGTTGGTAAAAGAACCAACCAGGTGGTTAATGGGTTGGAACTTTCACTTCCATCTCTACCCAGCACCACCTTCAACACCCCACCTTTGGGAAGGGAGGCTGCAGACTGAGCTTATTTGCCAAAGGCCAATGATTTAATCAGTCGTGCCAGTGTAAGGAAGCCTCCATAAAAACTCCAAAAAGAAGGGGTCTGGAGAGTTTTTGTTTCTGGTTCTTGGTGAACCTGTGTGGATTTGGGTAGTGTGATGTGCTAGGAGACAGCATGGATGCTCTGTGTCCTTCCCCATACTTTCTCTCTGGCTGATCCTGAGTTACATATTCTTTTAAATAAACTGGTGATGTAGTAAGTAAAATGTTTCTGTGTTATATGAGCTATTCTAACAAATTCATTGAGCCCAAGGAGGGGGTTGTTAGAACCTTCAATCTATAGCCAGGTGGTCAGAGGCACAAGGACCTGCAATTGGCATCTGAATAGTCTTGTGGGACTGAGATCCTAACCTGTGGAATCTGATACTATCTCCAAGTAGATAGTGTCAGAATTGAGCTGAACTGTAAGATACACTGATGGTGTCCAAAAATTGCTTATTAATGTAGGGAAATCACATATACACACTGTAATTGGGTCCAGCCACCTTAAGATGTTAGAATACATCAGTGGTTCCCAATCTGTACAACACTGGGGACCACACAAGGATTTATTCACAGCATCCACAAATCTTTATGTACACCAAGCTACAGACTAAAAAATGTCTTACACAATTAAAACTTTGTCAAATATGAAACTGAATTCCAAAAGTAAAGCTACAAGCAATTTATGTGCATGGGGGTTGAAATAAAAGAAGAGGGGATGAAAAATAAAAGAGGGGATGCAAACTCAACAATCCAAGCAGGTTTATTGCTAAACCTGAGAGGGACCCTTCTATCCTAGCCAGTAGAACAAAGGAAAAGGGGCCTCTAACAGATCAAGAGGCTTTTTTATGGCCAGGATTTTCAGCGGGCTTTTTGAGGGAAGGGGTCAGGGGAAAGGTGGGCTTGTGGCTTGCTGATATGTCCTCTGGAGAATGCTTGTAGCTAGGTAAGATGAAACCTAGGCCTCTCTGAGATGGTGGGTGGGCTTATTCGAAAGGTGGTACTCAGGTCCGGATTCTATCAGGGGTAGGGGAGAGGTGGTTGTAAGTGCAAAACAATTAGAAAACTAGTGAATTAATGGTTTTAAAACTGCTTTCCCTCAGTAGTGTCCAAAGGACTGGAGGAGGAGAAACTGGGAGAACACAAGCCTTAGAGTTAATGTTACATCTAAACCCTCACCTTTTCCTTCAACCAGAGCAGCCATGCTTAACCTCACATATTGGACATCTGTTTAAAAGAAAAACCTACTGGTCTCTTCAAGCCTTAATGTACTCTTTCAATAACACTTACATTACTCTGACAAAGTCCTTCACTCCCAAAATCAGAAAGGCTTAGAATTCTCAGTGGCTAGAAACCAATGTGGGTCTTTTGTGCTGGAGTTCCCCACTTTCCTCTAATACTTCTGCTTAATAAGTGACAAGTACTGTTCAAGACACTGACTTCAGAAATGAAAAAAGCAAGCACTGCTCTTTTAGGAGCTCAGTCTGAAAAAGAAAAAAATGTAATATGATATACATGCCAAGAGGTAGGCAGGCGCCGCCTAATTCAGCCCTGGGTAAGCTGTGAATTGGGATGCACCTTTGGAAGGTTGTCATGGACAGCATGCTATTCTGATGGATACACTTAAGCTAGGACTTGAAAGATGAGGAGTTTGCCAGAAAGACAAAAAGAAAAATGCACTCCATTTAGAAAACTGGGAAATGGCTACAGCTGAAGAATTATATGGGAGGAAGTGGTATAACATGAGGCAAAATAAAAAGGACCTTCAGCACTAACCCAGGCAGCTTCAAACCCTGTTCAACCAAACTTAGAACAAACATCAAAGTTAACAGATATAACCTCTCAATTCCAGGGCTGAAAACGTTGATCTGCCTCTAAAATTAGGTATTCATTCTCATCAAATATTTACCAGGAAAAATTAACAGATCACTTACTTGTACAGACACCAAAGATAAAAATCTTAATGCCATACCTTCTACGAATCACATCCATTCCTGAATTATATACACAGTTAATTTTCCTGGCACATGGCCTTGCATTAACTTCTCAAATGGTATCACACAGAATTTCGTAAGATTAAAAAACGTGCTATCCAGAGAGCACCAGCACAGGCAGAAGATGAAACCCTCAGCCTATAATCCAATGTGCTACAAGCCTGGAGGGAGAGGTAGGATGAACCGACCAACAGCTCAGCTGTATAAGTTTTATCAAGATGAAATCATATAAATGCCTATTAAAATCAGCTCCATAACAACAAAATATAGTTTTGCCAAATAATTAGCAACAATTTGAAATCTCAAAACCACAAGTGAACTGCCAGGTATCAATCTGCTGTTCTCAAGAACAGTTGGTATTTCACCACAATAACAAAAATATGAGTTTATCTTAACACATTCTTTCGACAATATCTAAAAAACATTTTTCACAACTTTGTCCTAAATCTACTTCACTGAACAATGTGATAAGAAATAAAACGATTACCAAAAGTGAACCAAAAGGTCAAAGAGAAGGTGGGAAATTTTTAATTAAGGCCGTTAGCTTTTTACTGACAATTTATTCATGCCTTCTCTGGGAAAGCTTGCTTGCCACCCTTTCAGGTGAGCCCACTTACACAGCCCTAATAAGATTGGTTACATTCTGCTACAGTGTAACAACACACCTCTGGATGGCCACAGTAAAATGGTGACACTAGTATAACTATATTAAACCAAATTAGAATGTTATTAGCAACTTAATAAGCACCCATGCATAACTTAGACAAAGGCAAGAGCAAACATGCTTAAAATTTCAGCCTGAGTCTAATGGCAGCTAGATACTTAGGACCAAATCTCTGCTTGTATATTAATACAAATGAAAATTAAAAGAAACAGTTGATATTAAGATAAACTCCTATAGCAAATGGAGTAACCACCTGGGTTTCAACTAAGACTTAATATTTGGTGGTTCGGGAACAGTGCCGCTTCTATTACACTGCAGTGCCACCAAGCGGCAGAGGTACACACTGTAGGCACATCCGGGACTGCTCCTGGACCACCTTCATCACTCCAAACCAGCAACCGCTATGGCCTGAACTGTGTCCTCCAAAGTTCTTAGGCTGAAGGCCTAACCCCCAGTGTGACTGTATTTGGAGACAGGGCCTGTCAGAAGGTAATAGGGTTAAAGGAGGTTATAGGGTGGACCCTGAATCAGAACAGGCCGGTGCCGTTGTAAGAAGAGGAAGAGACCCAAGAATGAATGCTCTCTGAGCACTCACACAGGCACCCAGGAAAGAGCTCAGGGACCCATGGCACGAAAGAAGCTTCCTGCAAGCCAGGATGAGAGCCCTCTCCAGAAACCAAATCAGCAAGCACTTCTATCTCGGCCTTTCCAGCCTTTATCACCAAACTTTTCACTCTTCATGAGAAAGGTAGTCATTGGAAAAATCAGAAAAGACTTCCTTAAAAAATCCTAATGCAAAAATGTACAGAAGGTCAAGTTTTTTCTGACAAGTTCCTCTATCAGGTAAAAAGGGCTAAGAATAGAAGGATTATGTCTTATTATCCAAGGGAAAAGTTTTTTTTCCTGAAATTAAGTGACTGTGGTTCCTAAGGATGCCTGTGCTTTCCTCAGAGTAAAACAAACACTGAAGCAGGAAAAAAAAAAATTCATATTGATCCAAAGCAAAAAGCTAAATGTGTGTACTAGAAAAGAGACAGTTAAAAGTCACACACGCCTCCTGTTTTCAGCTGTGTGTGTTCAGAACTACCTATTTACAAATACTCCTTGACTGCCTATTGTAATAGTCAAGAACATGGATGCCGGAGCCCACCCAGCAGGGCCTGCATCCCCGCTCTGCTGCTCAGGGGCCTCGGGCAGGCTCCTGCACCGCTCTGCGCTTCAGTTCCTCGTGCGAATGTCAGATGCACAATGGGGTTAATAACCTCCTCACAAGACTCTATTTAGATTCCATTGTCCACACTCCTCTCTCACTCCACATGCCCTAAGAATAAATTTTATTTACTTTCTTACAGATTATAGTACTCTATAGCCAATACTGAGATTAGCACCACACGGCCAACCTTTTATCTTAGTATCTTAGTGTCTCAGAGCAGAGGATAAGATGAACCAAAGTGAAAACTGGGTGCTTCAGTTCCCAGGTTAACTGTCTCTCTTTCTCACCCCAAATATCCTATCTCTGCATCATCTTGACTCTTTACAAGACAGTGTATAAAACTCATCACATGGAAGGTTCTAATGGCAGGTGCAGGCAGACTCCTTAGGTCTGTGTACTGCTTCAGTCCAAGTTTTGGTATTTGATTTCCTCCAAGTTCCCCTAAGAAGATCCAATTACAGAAACAGTTGATCTCAATCAATTTAGCCTAAATTTCTCGAACTCCAGTTAATGTAGTCCTTTTTTTGGACCTGGACAACTACCTTACTGCTGTAGGACTCACTCCACATACAGGACTATAGACCAATTCTGTTAAGTAGGATGCTATGGTTCCTACTGTGTCCTTCCTTATGAGCAAGAGGACTACCAATTTGAGGGCATGAAGGGAAAGAAGACTACATTTGCTCTATTAGGTCTCTTGCCATCTACAGAAAAGAAAGGGAAAGCTCTTACCTGCTCCTTAAACACCTTTCAGTTTTAAGGGGTGCGCACAAACCTTCACTTACATGTACATAATGGCTTGTACATAATGGCATGTACAGTGTACAAGCTGCTGCAAATACTAGCTTAGAGAAGATCTACACTAAATTTAAAATGCAGCATTTCAATTATTTTAAAAATCCTATTCCAAAGTAAATAACCAGTAATAGATTTTCTGTGGTAAATAACCACTAGTGGTTTATAAGAATTTTAACTATTATCCCACACTAATAATTACACCCAAACTTAAACTAGGCAATGGGCAGTGCTGCAGGGAAAAAAAAAAAAAAGCAGCAACAGATCCAAATGAAATATGCCAAAAATCCATATTGCCACCTCAAAACTACCTCAAGTTTCAATCACTACCATCTTAGATTTTAAAGATATTATTTCTAGTTATGAAGATAATACTTCTTGGTTATTAAGCCCTTGAATGTATCTTAATAAATTTTTTCTTCTAAAGATTTATCTTCTAAAGATTAAGTGACTTGCCAAGACTCTAGGCTGAGTAACATGTATCCTGGAACAAAAAAATGTTTTCAATTCCTAGGCCAGTTTTCATTATATCATACTTCCTTAGAGCTTGCTTAACTTCTTAAATCTCAAGGATAATGTATATAATGTGATAATGATAAGGAACTGGAAATAAAAATACAGTATATAATCTATCATAAGGTGCCATATAATTAATGCCAAGTGAGTAATAAAGATAACAACTGCTATTAAAGTTCAAAGACTACACTGTAGGCTGACTGGTTAGACTTAAAAAGGATTTTAAGAATGAACTTTAGAAATTATCCATTCTAAACTTTGTTTTACAAATAAGGAACTCAGGTCTTGTATAGAGAACTAGTTGGCAGCAGTCCTTCAGGGAGAAAACAGTAATTTGAGCTGGGTCTAGAAAGTTACCTAGATAGATAGGATTTGAATAGGCAGAAAAAAGAGAGGACTTTCCAGATAGAGAAATAATATAAGCAAAAGTTTAGAGGCTGAAACAAATTGGTCAAATTCAGGGGAAAGAGAATAAACCCTCTTGACTGAAAATGAAGAAAGATAAATTTAGGAGTCGCTAAGTTTTGTGTTAGGGTAGGGGAGGGAGCTTTAATACTTTAAGAATTAAACTTTATCCTAGAGGGGGAGGCTAGAACAGGTTTTGTGAAAGAAATACTAAGTTCCTTAGAAAAGCCCAAATTGTGCACTTGTCTAGAAGCCAAGACTAAGAGTTAAAACAGCCGAAATGTTTTACCAACTGCAAATCCAATTCTATGAGGAAAGGTAGAGAAGATACTATCCCCCAAAAAAAGGAGTTTGAGATAGTAAAATTAAAAATGGACAATGAAAGAAAAATGGAAACAAGAATGATAGAGAGATGTGGACAGAAGAATCAAGGTAAGTCACCTCATGCAGCCAAATTCTGGAAAAGGGATCAGATGGTCCAAACACAGTTATCTCTATGGCTAGAAGAAACACACTCAAAGTATAATTGCCAATGTTACTGTGTTTCAAACTGCAGTAACTCACCTCTCTAGCAGCACAATCATGAGGAGCTTCTTCTTTATTTACTTTTCCTTTTGGAAATCCCCAGCCTGATTTTGCTAGGTACCCCTGAACCAGTAGTACCTACAAAACAAGCAGAGGTCAAATAAAACTTGCCCTCCTTTTCCACATTTTCTAAAAGTCAAAGGTGTTTACCCCCTTACTTCAGGTAACCATTATCACCAATAATTTTTATAGTACTTGGTTTAAATTACCTTCCATCTAAATATAGCACTCCTAGTGTAAAGAAAGGCATTCTGATCATTTTTAAGTATTTCCTCAACAAGTAATGCTTCTTTAGAATAAGCCATACTGCAACAAGGATACAATATTAAGACTCAGAATGCAGACAAAATATGAACAATGTGGCCATTTAGCACTAAAAATCTAAGTATATTTTAAAACCTCAGTTCAGAACATGAGAGAAAAAACACATACTAGGCAGGGTGAAAACAGCTGATCACCATTTCACTAAAAATCTTTTTCTATTATACTCACATTTTCAAGTGTCTCATCAAGAATAATCGCACCATATGTTGGTACTCCCATTTTATATTCCTTCCATTCATCCAAAATTTTTTCCACATCTTCACCTTGGGGCAGCAAAAATGGACAATGACTGAAGAGTATTCATAGTGTTAAGGAAGCCACTTTCTCCCTTAATACAGCTTGAACACATATATTCAGAAAGAGACCTGTTTAAACCAATTGTGTATTTTATATGAAATTACTCCAATTTTTACCTCACTCCATGTTTATCCATTTTGGTTTCTTCACAGTTTTATCTTGAACCAGTCATCGCTAACTTCTGCATTTAGCCTAGACACAGATCAAGCTTTGGAATACTCATAGTTCTGGCTCCCTAAGTTAACATAAATACATTCAGGACCACGGAAATACCTCAAATACTTCTGAGTTGAATTCATCATTATTAGAAGTCAACAAACACTAAAACCAACTTCAAGAAACAGGAGTACAGTACACACATACAGGTAAGAGCTAGAAATCCCCAGAACCAGTTAAAATGGCTAACTCTGGGAAGCAGAACAAAGGATGAATTATTTATACTCTATACTGTTGAAATTTCTTTATTATGTACATGTACTGCTTTTATAATTAAAAACATTTTAAAAGATAAAGGTTTACTAAGGATTATAGAGAAAGATAAATCTGCCTATTAAGTACAGCCTGTTTCAAAAATTGGGCATGCTCCCTTCCCCTCAAAATTGGGCAGAGTAAAATAATTTTTTTAAATTTTTAAAAAGTAAATAAAACCTAAACTTGTAAAGTAAGTATATGCTCAGTCTTCCCATACTGCATGCTATTCAAATGCCTCATACTACAACACTGTTAATTATGAGAAGAATGGAAACTTGCAATTCATGAGTGTTTCTCAAACCAGGGATATATTAAGGGTCCTTAAGACCTCTATGAAAACGTATATATTCTATTAGTTCCCACTTCGATGTTAATCTAAAAACATGTAGTATGTTTTAAATCACATATATCAAGCAATACCACTGATTTCAGAGACCATGTTGGTACTAGTACTATTTATGGCTATGGGATACTAAAACCTAGTAATACACAAATGATGCATTAAGGTCAAATGATATCCCAACATGATATAGAAAGGAAGGTTTCAAAACAGATGGGGCAACAGTGAAATAAGCCAGAGAAAGACAAGTACCAAATGATTTCCCTCATTTGTGGAGTATAACAACAAAGAAAAACTGAAGGAACAAAACAGCAGCAGACTCACAGACTCCAAGAAGGGACTAGCGGTTACCAAAGGGGAGGGGTTGGGGAGGGTGGGAGGGGAAGGAGGGAGAAGGGATTCAGTGGCATTATGATTAGCATACATAGTGGGGTGGGGGGAGTCACAGGAACAGTGTAGCACAGAGAAGACAAGTAGTGACTCTGGTAGCTTATTATGCTGATGGACAGTGACTGCAATGGGGTGTAGGGAGGACTTGATAATATGGGTGAATGCAGTAACCTCAATGTTTTTCATGTGAAACATTCATAAAAGTGTTTATCAATGACACCTTGATAAAAAAAAATTTTTTTTTAAAATGGAGCAAAATTGGTGAAAAAAAGTGATCTATAGGCACTCAAAGAAATCGTATTACATTCACATTGTGATCAGCAGTTCAGTTTAAACAAAAACACATTAAATTCTTTTTATGCAAACAAATTTATGAGTTCTACAGTTTTATATCTAAATACTTGTTTTGATTTTAACTAGAGAGGCCCTTAAAGAGCCCAAAGTCCACCATGTATGACACTGTAATTGAAAGATAGGCACTAGGACTATATAGACTCATAGACACTCGAGAAGTGACTGACTGGTGGTTACCAGGGGGGAGAGCCTGGGTGGGTGGCAGGGAGGGGGATAAACAGGCACAAAAATTCTCAATCATAATATAAGCTGGTCATGGGGATGGCAGTACAGCATGGAGAATATAGTCAATGATTCTGTAACAAATTCTATGTCAACAGATAGTAACTGCACTAGTGGGGTGAGGATTTAAGAATATGGTAACTGTTGAACCATTGTGTTGCATATTTGAAACCAATGTAAGACTGTGTATCAATGACACTTCAATAAGGAAAAAAAAGACAGGCATTAGGTTAATCTCAAGTATTCCATGCCTTCATCTGGGGAAGGGAAAAAAAAGGAATAAAGTTTGGATACAACATTAACCTTTCCATGAAGCCCAAGGTTCTACATGGGCTTGCTGAGATCCTGAAAGTTATTTGCCAATTAGAGTTTGGCTTTAGAGTTTAGTAAAATTTCTATGCATTTTAAAGTCACTACAGACTTTTTTTGAATCTAAATATAAATGTAAATAAATGAGTTATTTTTTCCATTAAAAATTTAACCATAGAGAAAATATTGAAAAAATATTCCAGGAACAGAGATAACCTCCAATAGTTCAGACAATAGGGCAGTTACCCAGTTTTTTCTTTCTTTCTTCCCCCTACAATGTTCCTAACAATTTCAAGTTACATCAGTGTCTCCACAAAGTGGTATTATCTCATTTTTCTACCCTTTAAACACCTTCTTTAAAAAAGAATAGTAAGAAAGGTTTAGCAAGAGAAATTAAATCAACTGATAAAACTTAACTTTGGAGACTCTTTACACTCATTTATCCATTTTTTTCCTACCCCAAAACCACCACAGAGTAAGTTGATTTCAGTGAACCAACCAACTAAGGTTCATGATATACTTTAATGCTGAAAAGAACCTTAATGTTTAAGCACTTGCTGAAGTTGTCACAATTACCAAGATGACATCAACTTCCCCACCGCAACTCTACAGTCCTCCCCCACCGCAACTCTACAGTCCTCCCCCATACTTAATAGTGCATACAAGCAATTCAGTTCAAATACAGAAGTGTGAATTTTTAACACTAACATTTTATTTAATGAGGTAAAGTATTTAATTTGAAAGGCCCTATAACAAGCACTGAATAATGTTTAATTATCATTTGTAATTCTCATGAAAATTCTTAACTACTGTGATTTTTTTAACCTCTAAACCAAATATTATGAGCCTTGAATCTGGGTTATTGGGCCTTAAATAGTAGTTCTAAGGGAAAGAAAGAAGGTTACACTGGTTAAATAGAGAATGAAAGAATCTTAAGCACATGTTCACTTGTATTACCTTCTACTTTTAACAATTTGGTGATTTTTTAAAAATATATCTTTTATTCTAACATTTTTGCAAAATCATGAAAAATATGCTCTAGATATAAACAATCATTTAGACAGTAATCTCCATCCAAAAGCCTACCATTATCTTAGATGATAACAACTTCCCCATGGACAACCCATCTCAAGCTCTAGCCTTGCTTCCTGTATTTCTTGTCTTTTACATCCATTCCCACTTCTAGGACCAATTCACACAGCAACATTCTGGATCTTGCCACCATTAGAACTTTCTGGCAAACTCATTAAAATAAAACTTCTTGACCATAATTTTCCATGGCATCTTTTAATTACTTACACTATATCATTATTCTACATCAATCTTTGTCTTCCTTTGTATTAGCACCCTCCTGCTCTTCTTCCCTAAACATATGGTCCATCATTTTAATCAATCACTTTAATCAAATTCCTTTGCCCCACTATTGTCTCAATAAATAGCTCCCTAGCAAAACCTCAACCCAGGAGCAAATCCAGGATACCTGATCTATACCTAAATGGCAGAGTGCTTACTGAAGAAAAATCACAAGATTATTATGCATAATTTACAAACGAGAAAATAGATGCACAGAAATCCCCCACAATTTGCCCAAGGATGCATGGCTAGTAAAGGCAAAGACAGGATGCTACCCCAAGGAATCTGGCTCCAGAACTCAGGCTACTAACTTTTAGTCTATACAGCTCTCCACTTCAATATCCCAGACGTACCACAAATGAACTTGTCCATAACTGAGCTCATCATTCCCCCACAAAATTTCTCTTATTTTTCTACAAACGGAACGCCATACCCATCCACTCAACTGCTCAAACCAGAAACTTGGGTACCATCCTTGATTCTTTTTACCACCTCTCCTTAGACATCCAAGTTAACACCAATTTTATTTCCTAAGTATCATTCAAATGTAACCACTTCCATCACAGATTTCCATTTCTCTCTCATAAATTAATCAAATACCATCTTAACTAGATCCCAAATCTTGCCTTCTTCCAATTAATTGCCCACACTATTCCAGAGTTATCTTTCAAAACAACCCTAGAAAGAAGTAAAGCAAACGCAGTAAAAAGTTAACAGTGGTTGAATACCTAAGAAGGGTATGATGGCAGTGTACTGTAATATTCTTTCAACTCCTCTGTAAGTTGAAGATTTTCCTAAAATAACAAGTTAAAAAAAGAAACAAAAAACCTCCTATTGATCTTCAGGATAAAGTCCAAACAAACATGGTCTGTAAAACTCCTACATGCTTCAGCATCGTCTCTTGTCCCTTACTCTAAAACCCAATCATATTAAACTCTATTCACTCTTTCACACAGATCTTTCTCACACAGACCACTTCCTCCAAAGAAACTTTATCTAATTCCTAATGTGGGTAGAGTATCCCTCTCCTCCATGCCTACTGAACCCTGTACTACCCTACCCTAAGTTACCATACTGCCTGTAATCATGTCCTTTCCTGTCTCTCCCTCCTGTCTGTCCCATCTTTCTGAAGACAGGGACTGAATCTACCTTGCCCGCTGGCACAGAGGAAGCACTCAGTTATTTAGTGAAGTCTACCATATTAGCAAAAAAGGTTTTTGCTCCATATAACTGAATTAAAAGATAACTAAAACATGTTTTCAATTTTTTTAATAGCAAAGGAAGTTCAAAACGCAAGTGCACACATACACACACACACACACCAAATCTTAACCCAGAACTCCAAAGTATGTGAAATTGTTCTGGCAGAGCCCTAAGTCTATGCAAAATAGACAAAAATCACAGAATTAGGAGGATTTGCCTATTCTAATGTTTTTTATAATTAGCTCACAGCTTCTAAAAAAGTCTTCTTTCATTTTTCCACAGAACCTATTACCAAGCCTTTAACAAAGACAGTGCTCAATAGTGCTTCTATTCCCCTGTGACTCCTCATTTACCTCTCCCTATTTAATCAGTCAAATAGCTTGATACTAACTGTCACTGAAATCTGTCTCTTTGGTCTTTTTTTTTTTTTTTTTTT